CACCGACAGGAGTAGTGTCGCGGTCGATCCAGCATCGCATAGAGATAGAGCCTGGCAACAGGACTCCTAAGGGAGCCATTTATAGAATGTCCCCAATGGAGTTAGAGGAGTTGCGCAAACAGTTAGATGAGCTCCTCGAGAAGGGTTGGATTAGGCCCAGTTCATCTCCATTTGGAGCACTTGTTCTTTTTGTCGCCAAGAAGGAAGGAGAGCTCAGGATGTGTATAGACTATAGGGGTCTCAATGCCATCACAGTAAAGAATGCAAAACCACTGCCCCATATAGATGATCTGTTGGATCGGGTGCAGGGCTGTAAGTATTTCTCGAAGATAGATTTGAAGTCCGGCTACCATCAGATAGAGGTTCATCCTGATGATCAGTATAAGACAAAATTCTGGATTAGATATGGGCACTACAAGTTTATAGTTATGCCCTTTGGACTAACCAATGCGCCAGCTACATTCCAGCACTGTATGAATGATTTGTTTAGGTCGTGGTTAGACAGATTCGTGGTAGTGTATTTAGATGATATTTTAGTTTTTAGCAAGACCCTCCAGGAGCATGAGGGCCATCTGAGGCAGGTTTTGGAGAAGCTCGGAGAGGCTAACTTCAAGATCAACGCAAAGAAGTGTGAATGGGCCAAAACACAAGTTTTGTACTTGGGCCACGTCTTAGACGGAGACGGCATAAAACCAGGAGATAGCAAGATTGCAATGATTAGAGATTGGCCAACGCCCCACACACTGACAGAGTTGCGGTCATTCCTAGGCCTAGCTAATTATTATAGGAAGTTTGTTAGGAACTTCTCCACCACCGTTTCACCCCTTCGCAGGTTGCTAAAGAAAGAAGCAATCTGGAAGTGGGACAAGGACTGTACATCAGCCCTGAAGAAGCTAAAGCAGGCATTGATAGAGTATGCAGTCCTTAAGGTAGCCGATCCGTCCCTGCCTTTCATTGTTACCACTGACGCGAGTCAGTACAACATAGGTGTTGTTTTACAGCAAGACGATGGCAATGGATATAGGCCCGTAGAGTTCATGTCTGCTAGGATGCCTTCAGAAAAGGTAGCGATATCTACCTACGAGAGGGAACTCTATGCTCTCAGGCAAGCACTAGAGCACTGGAAACATTACTTGCTTGGGAGGCACTTCAAAGTCTATTCAGACCACGAGACACTAAGGCGGTTGAAGACATAGCCCAAGATGACACCTAAGCCAGTCAAAGGGAAGTACAATGTAGTAACGGGCGCTCTGAGTAGGAGAGCTGATTACTTTGGGGCAATAGTTCACTATCTGGATATAGGAAGAGACCTGCAGCAGAAAGTTAGAGAGGCATATGCACAAGACCCTATCTATAGTGACCTCCTCAAGAGAGTTAGGAGGCCCCAGAGTCCGAATCAGACTACCGCACTACTAATGGCTTATTATTCGAGAAGACTAATGTAGCTGACCGCCTGTGCGTTCCCAACAGTGAAGAGATCCGTACTTTGATCTTAGGGGAATGCCATGACACAGAGGGACACTTTGGTTGGCAAAAGACACTAGCCAACCTCACGCGCGCGTACATCTGGCCTGGTATGAAGGCCGACTGCATAGAGTATGTCCGCAGTTGTAAAGTCTGTCAATGAAACAAGTCTACTACGCGAACCCCTCTTGGTCTTCTCAGACCCTTGCCTATTCCTGATAGACCGGGAGATTCTGTATCCATTGACTTTATGGATGCTGGGGTCAAGAGTAGGCATGGCAAAAGTCAAGTCATGGTCATCGTAGATAGATTTAGCAAGTATGCAGTTTTTGTTCCTTTGCCTGCAGAGGCACACACAGACTTAGTAGTTCAAAAGTTTTTCGACCATTGGGTCAGTGAGCGTGGTATACTGCTGTCGATAGTTAGTGATAGAGATACCAGGTTCACCAGTCAGAACTGGCAGGAGCTAATGAAAGTCTATGGTTCCAAGTTGTTGATGTCATCTGGCCGTCATCCTTAGACTAACGGCCAGACTGAACAGATGAACAAGCTCCTCCAGCAAGTTCTTAAGATGTACATTAGGCCCGACCAGATCAACTGGGATGAGATGCTCCCTAAGCTAGCCAGTGCATACCATAATAGCGTGCACTTATCTACGTGTCGCACTCCCAACGAACTGCACAAGTCTTTTAGACCGTGCAGACCGTTCGAGGGACTTAACCGGGATCAGATTCAGAGGTTACCGCCCAGTAGACGAGAATTTGCGATAGAGCACGAAAAAGAGATAGCTACCGTAGTTGACAACCTCAGGAAAGTCCAGCAGAGAATGATAGAGCAAGCTAATAAGCATCGTCGCCCCTCACAGTTTCAAGTAGGTGACTTAGTCTGGGTCAAGTCAAAAGAGTTTGCTCCTGAGGAGATCCTGAGGAGAACATCTCACAAAAGTTACTGCCTACGTATAGAGGACCGTGGCCAATCTTAGAAGTCAAGGGCGGAGAGGATGGACCGTCCCATACCCACCTCCACACCTACCCAGTGTTCCATGCGTCAAAGTTGTTGCCTTGCGTCACAAGTCAACAGTTTCCATCACGCAGATCTATGATTCCTCCAGATATGGATGGAAGATATGACATTGATGGGATAGTAGGTGAGGATGTCTTCAGGACAGGTGGTAGCCCTCGTCCACAAAAATAGTACAAAGTCAGATTTGCCTTTCAAGAGCCAGAAGACAACCGCTGGTTCACGCGAACAGAACTTCTAGAGACAGTGCCCGATATAGTTCGAGCCTACGAAAGAGATAAGAAGGGTAAGGGTCCTGCCTTAGACTGAAGTATTCTCGGAGGACCTCGAATTTAGGCCGGCGGGAGTGAAACGGTTTTCACCTTTCTGAAGTCACAGATGCGGGCACTAGAGTTCGATCCCCAGACCTTACCTTGCCCATGTACAGTATCGAGTTGGCCCCCGAGTGTTTGAACCCGTGACCTGTATTTTGGTAGTTGTTTGATGTCTGTCGTAGGTCTGTGTAGTTGTAGGGGTTCGATCTGTACGTCTGTCGAGTAGGGGTCACAGCTCCGTAGAGGTCGTAGCTGTAGATGTTCTGAAAGGTCAAGGGTGTAGCTGCTACAGTCCTGAAAGGTCAAGGTCATAGCTGCTACAGTACTCGAAAGGCCAAGTCCACAGACTTCCGGAAGGTCCGGAAGCGGCCTTTCGAAGTTGTCTCATGTTTAGTCAGAGGCAAGTGGGCAAGTGGTGAGCCCAACAGCACTGAGTCGGCAGTGCGACTGCATCGAATCGGCACTGCAATCCCGTGCAGTCAGCGGTACCGGTCCATTCAGTCACAGCCCAGTCAAGCAAGTATCATGAGGGACTGCGTGCACCATGGGCCCGGTGGAAAAGGGCAGACCAACAAGTTACAGAATTATAAATCAAGAGGCAGCGCCCAGCCATTCATTCATTCGCTGCGTAAGCCATGCGGAAGCGCTGCCACAGCGTCTTGTGCGAGGTGGTCTGCAGGTCGCCCGAAGTCGAAGTGGGCTGAGAGATGACAGCGTAGCCATAGTTAGTAGTGGTTTTGGACATGGCGACGAGAGTTGGGTTGTAAAGGCGCTGATGCGCTATAGCCTATTGAAGCGTTTTGCATCGGAACAGTGTTCTCGTTGACCATATCTCTGAGCTTTGAGTGGGCACTCTGCGCCAGTGTGAATCGTCATCTGTTTGCATGTATGCGATGGGGTAAAGAAAGCGAGTCTGATTGCAGAGTTAGTAAAAACGATATGTGTCTGTGAAGGCTTTGCCGAGATTATATGGTTCTCCCACGTCCTTGCCCTCTAGAAAAAAACGTTATGGGTTTGAGTTTCGGCTCGTGAAGTCAGTACACCAATGTTCTCCAAGGTGCAAGCCCAAGAATGGACCTCGCCCCACTACACGTATCTGGACAGACTACCAGGCGAGATAGTTTCGGACTGACGACCTACTGTATATCGGAAAAAGGTGGAAAAAGGCGGAAAAAGCAAACGGACAGCACACTGATTACACGAGCTGAAACATGAACCCATAACTTTCTTATAGAGCGTGGTGGTCTGAAGGAAGTGTAAAAAATTATGGCAAAGCACTCGTGATAAGATATCTCATTCGGCCTTTCGGATATCAATGCTATATCTGATCCCGTGGTCCATGAGATCACACGATGCCGAACTAAAAGTTTTGGGCCACGGAGGGGTCAGACAAGTAAGCATGTATACTCGACCCCTCAGCATTACCTCTGTATTGAATATTACAGAGTGTGCGCAGCCCTGTCCCGTCCAAAGGGGAACTACACAAACCTCCATCTCCCCTCTTCCCCTCCCCCCCCCCCCCCCCCCAAATGCCAGCCCCCCAAAACAAAGTTGCTAATTTAAACATTTTATGGCGGATTCTAACTGCTCTCTACGAGTGCAGTCGGACCCGGCTGTTTTGGGCTGACCCCGAATTCCGGTTGGGCTGCCTCAACCGATCCAGCCCGGTCAGGTCCCGGATGGCAGGACCGGCTGGTCATCAGCCCAGCCCTGATGTGAAGGTTTGTGAATGGTATGTGAGCCGCTGTACGGCCTAATATAGTTATGGCACCAATACGTGAGAAACAAGGGTTATAATCAGTGAGACTGTGGGAGGAGCGACTGTAGTTCATTTTTCACAAAGAATTGGGATAGAGATCATTGTTAGTAGTTTGTCCATTGAGATGGTAAGATGAACATGCACATCGCTAGTTAGGACAAGAGGTGTAGCTATTGGTTTTAGCTTTGGGCACTGGGGAGAAAATAGAGCACAACACCGGAGAGCTCACACGCAAGGTGGTCAGACACAATGTGATTCAAAAGCCTTTAGCACAACCGCTCAAGTGGTAAATTTGCAATCAAGAGAATGCAAAGCATCCAAACTCCGGAAGGGACTGAGGGGAGAGAAGTTCAAAATTTCCACAAAGGGGGAATGAATGTCACAAATACCTAATCAGCAACTCATTGAATTCCAGTTCGACCAGCCACACAAAGCAGTCGCACCTGGTTTCTGTTCAACTCGTGTTCGGCATCTCATGGTGGGTATTCCTTCATCAGCCTCCTCAATGCAGACGTACACACGCTCACCAGAAGGGGCAGTGACTGACAAACATTTCCCATTAACCTCATCTGCGTTGCCCCTTGGTCTCATGCGCTCTTGCCGTGCCTTGTAGACATCCTCGTCAACACGAGTAGCAGCTGATGAGGGGTCTGCCCCACCTGCGCGGGCATTGCTTGACTGCAACTCACATTCCGGCAAAGAATTCTGCATTGAACTATTGTCTGCTGAACTTCGTCTGGCAGACTCGTTGGCATCCACGTGCGTGTCTGAACAGAGTATCTCAGTTCGGGGCATGACAGTGGCTGCCCCAGGAAGTGCTGCACCGCAGCTCGGACCATTGATTGTTGCTTTCTGTGCCTGACCACCTGGAGTCGCTGAAGCATTGAATTCTCCTGTTCCACAAACTGCTGCACTCTCTTTTGCACTCTGAACTACTCGCCTGGGCTCATTTGAATCTGCAGAGCTCTCCTTTGAATTACTTGCTGCGAACGCGGATTCCAGGCCGATACGTAATGTTCGTCGTGTCTGCAAACAATTTGTAAGAGAGGCAGGTTGCGTTTTTCCTTCAACGTGGCTTTTCCTTGGAACATCTGCAGGTTGGTAGAACGATTGACAATAGCATCTTGTTAGCCTGGTTAAGACCATCATACAGAAATTTCAATGAACAAGTTGTAAGTTGGACACCTTTACAAGTTTACACACATTGAATCACAACAAACTGTAAGGCAGATAATCTCATGCTTTGGTACGAAAAGGTCTCGGTCAACCAGTATCCAGCAGCCCCTCTTTTATATTCTGACCTGATGACATCACATGGAAGCAGGGTTCTTCCAGCTAAGCAAATCACACCTCCTTAGGGAAGGCTCAGGATGAGGTTTCCAAATCTGCAGTAGCTCTTCCTCCTCAGAGGGTACTGCTCTGCAATTTCTAATCCTGGGTTTCTCACCAGTTCACCTACAGACAAAAAGAGAACAAGAGCATACGCATGAAGAGATTGGGCTAAATCAGGGTTGCACCCCCCAACGGTCAGCGGCCTTGACTGGTTGGCTGCCGACCCGCCGACAAATCGGCAGGTCGGCACGTACCGGTCGGGGGTCGTCGGAACCCC